ACTAAGCCCAGGCTTCTCTGCTCCGTGACTGTGCATTGATGTTGATCTGATATCGTTGCTGAGATAAATGCAACTGTAAACAAGACTGACAGAGCAAAGATAGCTCTCTGCATTCCAACCAAATCCTCCAGCTTTATCTTAAGCTCGCGTCAACTCCTCACTTTCCACTACATGTGCTCTTGGTCATGCAAAGCTGTCCATATTAATGTTACTTAGGTGTTTCAAAAAACTAGAATGGGAAAGCTGTACTCATAACTTAACTGATCGATTTACTTCAACAGATCTGCGTTTTGCCAGACAGCCTTGGTTGACCTCCCCGAGGCTTTTTGAAACATTAATCTTTATATGTTTAAATGTGGAGCTGTTTCTCTTCAGAGAATGCGTGACCTAGGTCAAAGACACCTCAGCAGGATTGCTTGTATAACCCATTATAGTGGTGTATAAAGTGTCAGGTCTTTTACTTAAGCAAAAGGACCAAAACAACACTAAACTGTGCATTCCATTACACGTCTGAGTCCAAGTGAAAGTCCTGTGTTCCAAATCCTGCTGTAAAAGTATAGTATAATCACAGCATGCCTGCAGGTCCTCCTATAAAGTCTTAAAATGTGTTCAATTCAATTTTATAAATACTGGGCCATAAAAGTCATTAAGTAGTCTTAAATTTGAATTTGGGAATTTGTGAGGGCTTTATTGCCACAAACATTTTATCTAATTTCGTGTATTCCTCTTTTAATTTAGTTTTGTGAAGTCAAATTCTTCAGCAAGAAAGTCAACATTTCTTATGTTAAAACATTTTAAAGCTACCATTGAAGCTAATACTGTCTTTAATTTATACTCTCACTTACCTGTTGTACATTGGCCTAACTCACTCTAATAACCATATTCCTACATTAAACCTACCTCTGCACAGGACTTCATATATAGTTAGCATATGTTAAAGCTAAACCATTTATGCTAAGAAAAGAGTGATTTGTCCCAAAAAGGTCTTAAAAGGCTCAAAGAAAAAAAATGTAATACAGTATTAAATGTTAAAGTACAAAAAAGTGGTGTCTATAACTGATATATTATTATGTATTACATTAGTAGAAATTTAATACTGCAGCATTTTACTGTTGTAGCTGGTTGAGGTGGAGTTAGTTTTGGAAGTTTGGAAGTTGAGTCCAGTGGTTACAGTGAATCTGCTACCAAAATATTCAGTTTTTGGCTTTTGTATTTGCTTTTCTTGTGAAATATTGGATAATTTTGCCTCTTTGGGGCCTTGAACAATTATTTAATCATCTGAGATGTGGTGTGAGTTGCTAAGTTTTGGAGATCTCAGCAGTAGCGAGATATCTGTCTTTTCTCAAGTATAATAGAGCTCGATGGCACTTGGCTTGTGGTGCACACAGTGCAAAAAAAACAACCCCAAAACAAAACACGTGAAAAACAGCAATTCCAGAAATCATCACCAGTTACTCAAGATAATCTTCAGACCTTGTTGTGAGCAGTTTCATATAGGAACTGTTTTCTTTCTACTAAACTACACCCACCAACTATATCACAACACAGAAGGAAGTGTGCATCTACTCATGGATGAGAGGCTCGTGCATGTGATGGTGCAAGATGTACACATTAATAGTGTCCTCCTAGGAGCAAGCAATAGATACACAAGGAGAGAAGGCAGAAATCTCTATGGTCGATATCTCCAACACTCACAACTCACACCAGAACAATCTAGATTGATAATTAGCACTACAGGTAGGAGGAAAAATATGTATTTTTGATTTTGGGGTGAACTGTCCGTTATAGTCTTAATGCTACAGCTGTGAGCCCACAGACATGACCAGGCCTCTTCACTTACACCTCCTCCTCTCTCGTCCTCTGTGACCCTTACCCCTTTTACCCCATCTAATCTGCTCCGACACAACCTCTGACCTCTGTCCTCCAGGCAGCAGAGTCATGTCAGACTCAGAGACTCTCATTAGAGAGCGCAGAGGAGGGCAGGGAGGGCACACACATACACACACACACACACACACACACACACACACACACACACACACACTGTATTTGCACATGCATACAGTGAATGTTAAACATTTAGGGACAGATTTCAGATTTAGATTATCTTTGCACTTATTTACTTGCATACATGCAGTGAAAATGTGCCATTATCCTCACACTTTATCTGTGTGTGTGTGTGTCAGGTCACAAGAGGTGAGTGTGTCATATCCAGGTTGAAAGGAGTTCACACATGACTCACTTTCTTACCATGACAGTGCCTGCTGCTAACTTGAACCAGTTCCAGAGTGTGTGTGTGTGTTTTTGTGCATTAGTCCAGAATCCGTGGCAGTCTTGACTTGAAGCAGTCTGCGATCTCTCCAGGCTTGTGATCATGTGCTTGGCAGAGTAGACCTCTTTGCTTCAGAAGTGACTTGATTTAGACGGGCAGAGTTAAATAAAAACTTTATTGGCCCTGAGGCTGAATGGCGGTTGCAGCAGCAAGACCGCCAGTGTTAAATATAAAGTTTGTCATTTTATTGACAGTTGTGTATGTGTGTGAGAGTGAAGACATAAGCACAAACACACGTGACCGTAACACATGTACGAGTTTATGTGCACACACACACAACTATTTATTTCTGGCAGTAGCAGGGTAAGCAAACATAAAGGCAGGATTTGTTTTGGTTCAGAGTATTTGGCACAAGACCATGCCTTATCAGTGTAAGCACTCTCCATCGTTTCCCCTGCTCTGCTCCTTGTTATGTCACTTTTACAGAGGGAGACTATTCAGAACATAGGAATGTAATCATGACTATCAGGAAATTTAATTAACTGAAATTTAATTTGGATCAAAGTAAATCCACTCGTACTTGTTTTTAATGTTGTTCTCTGTTGACAGTGATTCATGATGGCAATTAGTTTTGTACTCTGTAGACATTCTGTGTTGCATTTTTTTAAATTACAGTGTTCTTGCTCAAACTCCCAACACATTAGGCTTCTGTCTAATACTAATGGCATCAATAATGCTTTTGTTTTTTAAAATAACATTTCATTCCACATTTCATTTCATGGTGTGTCTCTCTATATGGGTTTATCCTGAACATTAAGAGGACCAACAGTCAGTCATTTGTCTTCATATTTAACTGCTGAAAAGATGATCTTTTCATAAAATTTGGCTGTCTGTGTGGTAGAAATAGGGCTGTGGATTGTGGCTAAAAATGTCATCACAATAAAATTTTTCATATAAATGGATATCGATAATCACGCTAAAAAAGTCAAATCATTATTTCTTTCATGTTTAAAGACTGATTTTTGCTCCAGAGTTAAAGTTGTTACTTGTCAGAACAAGACAAACATTTGTCAACAGCAGAACATTTTAAAAAATGGGGTGGATTCAAAACAATTATATTCAAAATAATTTCAATACATTACTCTGTAGATATCAGCTTCTATACTCTTTGTGTCCGTGGGGGCGGCAGGTAGACAAAAATGAGGAAGTACACTCTGCAGTTTGAGCAACAGCCCTGGAGCCAGGGAAAATTATGTCATCTGGTGGATTTGAGCTAAGAGATGATGAGCAGGGTGATCTTACCATTTTTGCCAGAAACTGTTTGCCAGAGCCTCACAATCCGGATGTCGTTTTCACAACGATGGTGTTGCTCCAGAAATAGCTAGTAAGTGGCCATTGAGTTAAGGTTTTTGTGTCTAAGGACTGTTTTAATTGTCAGAAATACACATTCATGCTCAACGTCTCTTTCTGTTTTTTGGTAGTCCTACTGATGTTTCACAATTTATGTGGTATAAAGGGGCACTGCACATTTTCTGTATCAGAATCAGTTTACTAGTCACAGGGAGTACTACATAGTCTGAGAGCAGATGGTCAATGTCTACAGTGCCTTGGGGGGAGTAGTCTCGGCTTCGGTTTGCAGACTACAGATTTTTAAGAGATGCTATAATGTTGAATTATGGGAAAGTTTAGGATCCATTGTTTTTGAAAACTGACCCACACTAGGGGCTCCAAGTCAGGATATCTCAGCCTCAGTTGCCTCAGTTTCCCAGTTTTATGGAAATGCATTACTGAATGCACTGTTTGTGCTACAGCAGAATCTGTTAAAGAACTACACCCACAGTCATTGATTATTGGATTTGAATACACTTTATTATCAGAAAGAAAATCTGAAATTGTCCTGCATCTCAGGTTGTCAAATGTTTCACATAAATACAAAACAACATTTAACCAAACAGAAAAACACACTATAAACTCTACAAATCATGCAGACATCATGCAAAGTGGATACAGTGCAACAAATGAATCATTCCTATAGCATTCAGTGTTTGACCCAGGGACACTGAGGCTACTGAGAAGCCATACTCTGATTTAATAGGTCGACAGTCTTTTCAGATTTGCACCAAGTCACCCTTTTTAGCAACACTAGCTGCATGGCTCTATGGAGTCCAGTATCACACCAGACAGGTGGTCAGTTGGTCGATCCATCAATTTGGTCCAGCCTAAAATATGTCAGCAACTATTAAATGGATTTGCATGAAATTTTGAATAGACGTTGATGTCCTCTCAGGATGAAACCCTTTAAGTCTCCTGACCTCTGACTTGACACCAGTTGAATGGACTGATATGAAATGTGGTATGGATATTCATCCCCCCTCAGGATGAATTGTATTAACTTTGGTGACGTTAGCTTTTTAGCTCAATCCTCTGCTACAGGCTCACAGCACCACTAGTATGGTAGTAGATTCTTAGTGTGGTAAAAAGTACTGTTATAAAGTTTTATAAGCCTTAAAACTTTGGAACCATTGCCAGACACTATGGAGTCCCAAAGTCCCAAAACATATTTTTTTTTTATCTTGTCTGCATAACATATAAAAAGTATAGTGTTTCAGGACTTTGGTGGCCCTGTATGTAAAAACCGGCTCTTTGAAATTTCTTTCTTCTCTGGGTATGTACCTCAGTGGCCTTATTATTGTTAATAAATTCATGCTCTTTCTATCTCTCTCCTCAGGATGACGGGCCGAGAGTTTTTCACTCGTTTTCCAGCTCTCTATCCGTTCCTTCTGAACCAGCTGGAGGAGGCTGCAGCGACGGTGGAAAGGTGAGGTGGTCCTTCCTTAATCCACACACATGCACACTTCACATTCAGCCCTTGCCATGGCTTTTCACACTCCCTTGATTCCATTATAGGTTTAATTTTACTTAAATTTAAGCCATACGAGACAGCTTTTTTGTTATCTTAAGCTGATTAAGCAGTGGTGCTTTTGTGCTGCGAGTCCTGAAGTGAAGAGGTGAAGTAAGTGCAACTTTTCTTCAGTCCTGAAACTAGATTGTGGGAACAGAAGTGGGAACATGAACTATGAACTCAGCTATTTGCTCTAATCAAGTAATAGTGCCCTAGATTGACTTCTCATGTGAGCCTTTTTTCTCAAAGTATCACTTGCTCAACTTCTTGACTATTTGCTCAAAGACTAAGACTTTACGACTGAATAAAGTAAACGTCTTGTTGAGATTTAGTTTTGTTTTTCACAGCGGGGAGGTTCATTGGCCTTATCTTTGTCAGCTCAGCCCAAACTCCCTCTTTAAAAGCATCTGAGTTGTCCAGCAGCTCCCCAGGCAGCCTTATCTTAATATGGATCCAATTAATTGAATGCTGTTTGAGACCGGCTCTTTCACAATTCCCCTCACTCCCTTCAACCCTTGTTAAAACATTTGCAAATTTCCCACGGAACCAGATCCCAGCTGTCTGACTTCCCACATCATCTCAGCGTATCGCGCCACCCAAACAGACCAACCGCATCATACTGTAGCAATACACAGCAGGACAAGAGGCAAGAGAGCTGCTGTTAGTGGTTTGAGACAGTCTTTGTGGAAGTTAAAAGTGCATTCCCAAAATAGGTCACAATATATGAAAAGATTATAGAAATGAGCTTTGGAACTGTAAAGTTGTACTGTGTAATCCATCTTCCTCCACAAATGCTCTCCCCAAACAAATACCTCTGAATTATGAATAAGAAACAATCCTGTGTTCAGAGATAGTTATGTGACGTACAGACAGCTGGAAGCAAAAACAAAATGTGGCTGTAATGTGCATGCCGATAAGCAGCATGTTGTGCATGCATGTGCACATGTACAGTACATACACACACTCACACAGCTACAACAGATATAACAGCACCTGCAGTGGGCTAAGAATATCCTGGATTGTCTGTTATTCGACCACGCCTTGGATCAGGGCACAGGGACTTTTGTGTATCAGAGGCTTTACATGAGTAATAAATGATGTCCATGTGTGGATGGATTCTAACCTGGCAACAAGTTTGCTGAAGTTACGCCCAAATGTTCATACTTGGTCCTGACCTGAAACGAGAAGAAAAAGGTCACATTTTTTGTTTACTTATTCATTAATAACCAAAATTAATTAATTGAACACCACACACGTTCCCCTCTTCATTCATACCTGTTGGTTGCTAGAAATGGTAAATCGCAGTGATGTTGCTACTAGGTACGCATCCTGCGTCCCTGACACACCCTGTTATTTTCTCTGATAATGCTACATTACAAACAACAGATCCGTGTGTAAATCATGGATTCACTGTCCTCGTGTGACTTTACTTATTTTGAAAATATTTCTCATGTCACAGAAACCACTGAGAATGAAACTTGTGTTTTGGATGTTATAATCATACTGTCGGTGATGTGTCGGTGTTTTTGTTGTGGTGCGCACAGATCTGATGCTTGCCAGTCATCACCGGCTCTCTGAAAATCTCTGTTGCCCATCGAAGGTGGGGGTGTCACCAGGGCGGCACAGAGGTCCCAGCTGGGGACCGCAAGACAAGACAATAAACTTATATTTTTAGGTTCATAAAATGTACCGTAATTCACTAATATGTAGGATATTACTACAAAAACTCAATCTTAAAGATTAACTTTGGCTCTTTGCCTTTATTTTGATAGGACAGCTTCAGACAGAAAGGGGATGATATGCAGCAAAGGGCTACAAGCTGGCATTAAAACCTTGGCCGCTGCAGCAAGGACATAGACAATACATGGGGCGCCTGCTCTACCAGGTGAGCTTCTGGGTGCTCCAATGTTCCTGTATTAATTATCACAATATAATTTTCCTTGATAGAAATTTAACATAATATAATATTTGAAAACTGCTCCATATAATTAAACCACTCGAACACCAGAGAAGGGGCGCACTAATGCACCTTAAACACTAGTTTCTACCTGTTATTAAACAGAAGAAGAAGACGAGAAGGCCACCAAGGCTTACCGTCACCATGCTAATGAGTACATTAACATTATAACTATAAAATCCTAACCTGGTGCTGTATTTGGCCACTTTATCAATGCACCAAATTTGGTTTTGATTTGAATATGCTTGAGCTCTTGCTCAGCTAAGGAGACTTGACTTCTTCGTGAAATAATAGTGTTTGTGCTTTTAATGTGGCGTGTAGATTCATCAGAATAATTTCAAATTCCTAATGTTAATATCTTGTTTATATCTGAAACAATTTCAGGTCAGTGGCCACATTCTACACTGCTGTGCAGTGATTTGTTGCAGTACAAACACTCTTATCTGCCACTGCTTTCACGACCAAAGAAAACAGTTTTTGTATCATATTCCAAGTACTTTTCTCTAATTTCCTAAACAAAACGGGTGATTTATTTGTCTGAGAGCTAACCAAATGTTAAGCTAAAGCTTTGGTTTACTTTAGAGTTTCTCTTGAGTCTCTGCTACTGCTACTTCATTTAAAAGTCCTCTTCTAAATGAAGAATAAAAATGCGTAAGGTCAGTGTTCTGTTTTTGCTGTCTTTAAAAATAACCTTTTCATCAAACACCCGGGTAGGGGGATGATTGAGGAGTTTGGGGAGAGGGGGCAGACATTCGTGGAAAAGCTCAACATGGAATTTGAGAATGTCATTAAATGCCACGGAGTCTCTCTTTCATCCTGTCAAGTGTTTCAGCCCCCAGCTGTATCCCAACAAGGCCTAATATGTTTGCAATTCCCCTCTATCTGCCCCCCCCTTCTGACATCACATCCTGTCAGGTTATGCTTGACTAAACTGTGACACTAAACACATTAGACCAGTTACTAATTGAGCTGCTATTACATTTCCCATCTTGCCGATCTGTGGTACTCCCAGCGGATGGTTCTGTGTGTGTGTGTGTCTGTGTATGTTGTTGAATGAAGTAATGAAAAGCACAAGTTGTTTTCGCAGGGGGTCTGTTGTTCTGTTTCTGTTCTATGAGATCCTCATGACTAATGACAGGGCCCGGAGGACATATTGCTCTCCTGACACACACACACCCACACACACCCACACACACACACACACACACTTATAAAAGCAGACTTTCCATACTTAACAGCCCTACACAAAGCTCAACTGCAGGCGCTCCCATAATGTAAACACTGTTTTCCCATGATATTACCGTATTATGAGATGATATTTTTAGCTTACACACTGCTTAAGTAATGCTGCTAAAGTTGAAGTTGTTTTATTAACACCAAGATAAAAATCCACCAGTTCCAGAAGATACAAACCTAAACCTTTGAGGAGTTGATCTCCTCTCTCACAGAGCTGGACGCTGACAGCAGGACAAGAAGAAATAAAGCTGTCCTGAGGGCGAAGCATGGCCCCTCTTCACATTAGATATCAGATATTCGAACAGTCAGTTTTCCTTACTTTGTACTGTAGTTTGAGTTCTTGTCTCTTTCTCCATTTTCCTCCCTCCTTTCTTCTCTGCGAGTGGGCCAGAGTGAAACTGTGAAACCGCTGGCAGAGACGGACAGTTTCCATTCTCACTCAGTTGGCAGTGATGATATTTGGATGGAGGAAAAGAGGGAGGTGAAAAGCTCAGTTCAAGGACGGATGAGGAGATAACTGTATTAGAGTGTGGATGGTTTGGATATGCAGCCTGTATTAAAGAGCTAGGGGACTTGAGGCCTTTTATATTTTGATGTGGAATTATGATTATATATGATTCCTATGGGAGATACACCCACTCTCTTTCTTGCTGAGAGTTATGCTGCATTCATGTGCTCCTCAGATGGTCCCATTTCCCAAGTTGGGAAGTCTTTTTTCCGACTCAGTTGTGTTCATGAGTTTTAGATCTTAATGTGGAAACAACATGGACGCTACTGAGGAGGTTTTTTTTTATTGCTCAGGTCATTTAAAAACATGTTGATAACAGTTTGAAGCTGTTTATTACAAAGATATTTTGTCCCAGACTTTTTGCCACCCCCATGTTTAGAGCTGTGTGCAGATAACCTCTGAATCATAGAGCCTGCTTATACCTAGTATTAACATGCGTTTTCATGATCCGAACACAAGTTGACAGTAGAGACATATTGCAATTCATATGTGTGTTTATCATGCGTCTCCACTTGACCTCTTGGGTTCAGATTTTGTTACTGCCTAAGTCACTTAAGCTAGTGGGTCATAGGGCCACGTGCACAGTTATTATATACACAATCTTGCTAGCTGCTCGCTAGCATGTTCGCTAGTCTAGAAATTGTGCAGCTATGGATAATGCTGCCAGCAGAATACATGTCTCCTTTCACAGGGCAACACTTTGTACAGCTCGAGTGAGTAAGGACAACTTATAGACCGTTGGCACCAGGTTAGCGCACTGTCACCAAAACAACCACCACATCCTGCATTGATGACGTAGTCCTGGTCAGATACGTATCAGGATGCATTAGCATTTACACTACAAAATATATGTGGTCAAATGTAACCCAGGGCGACCCGGCAAGTGAGTGATTGGATCACAATTCGTGTTGGTGGTTGTTTACACGTATTTAGCACTGTCCTTGTCATTGGCTTAATCGAGACACATGTGAGTACCAGGTATAAACAGGGCCATTGATATGCTCTGAATATCGTGTAGAGCTCGGTTACTTACTGAGCTTTAGAGATGCTGGTAGGTAGACTTGTGGCTTTTTGGACAGAGCCAGGCTAGCTGTTTTATCTGCCTCCAATATTTATGCTAAGCTAAGCTCCTCACCTGCTGGCTCTATCTTCATATTTAGCTTACAATAGTGATAGTGAATTTCTCATCTAAGTTTCAGCAAGTAAGCTAATAAGATTAATTTCCCAAATGTCAAACTACTCCTGGAATGCAGATGTTTAAAAAGATTGATAATGGTCTTCAGAATTCCTGACTCCCATGCTTGGCAAAAGCCTGCTTGGTTTTAGTCATAAATTTAAAAAATCGTTGTCTCTGACCATTTTACAGGAAGTTGACGGACCGCACAGCTAATATGAACACCATATATTGACATGATTAAAAATGTGCATGATAATAGCTGAGATTCCTATCAAATACTTGTCTTCCAAGTTGTTTGTGAAGGGCCTTGTTAAGTGTATTTGTAAGGCCTCATTTTACATACGTAAAATGTCTTAATAGACTTCACAGGCCTGCAAGTAATGATTCCCAACCAAATCCATGCTCTCTAAAGGTGTCAGTATGCTGCACATTTCCAGTCACATTAATTGTGCACTGTTAAAATCTGACTGGCTGTTGTTATGTGTGTGTTTAGTGACAGTGGTCAGGTGAAGCTTCACCCCAGTCTCTTCCTGCTGCTGCTGGTGCTCAGTCGACTCTACCCTTCTCCGATGGATGGATCTTCTTCACCTCTGGGACTCGCTCCTTTCATGCCCTTCATCATTAGGTGGGTGTCAACGCTACACACACAAGCACAAACATATTTATATTCATCACACACACACTGACTACACATTTGACACCTAAACACAAAGAGTTGTCAACTCCCAACTGCTCTGATAAGCCTTTTCCATTGGTACTTTTGGCAGCAGCGAGTCCGATTTGATTTGCATTTCCGTCCCCAATTTAAAGGCGCCAAGTTGTGCCAAGGCTCACTGAGTCACACCCGAGATGGAACATCTCCAGAGTTGGGCCAAAATGCGCCCTGACTACTTCCAAGCAGGTTGTCATGACATCACATTGGGTTTGTCATCATTATTCATAACACAAATAAAGGAACCGTTAGAAGAGTGATGCCCATATATACATACAAATGATTTAATTTGCTGTGCTGCTCAAACATTACCAGCAGCTTTCATAAATTTATAAATAAGTTTTGTTTTTTTCTGCATGTTACTCAATGCATGACTTGACATCATGAATCACTTAACACACCTTAAATGTCAGTATGATAACTTTGACTATTGCATTTGATTGTATTATCTCTCTTGCATGAAATACGCTTTAGTGATGATTGGATCTTAAAGTGCTTAAAAATGTATATTGATTTCAAGTGGAGATTGAACACTGTTAATATTATATTTCCCCACCTGGAGAGAAAAACTGGCAGAGTGTTGTTCTGGTGTGCTCCAGCAGCACTTCAGCTATCCTTATGAGACATTGCAAGCAAGCTGGAGGAGATGGGCATGAAAAACTCCGACAACAGTAGGATAGTTGATGATCACAATAACACCAGCAGGGCAGACAGAAACGTTCCGTTGGTTCTAAAGCGCAAGTGCGTCATCAGTTAAAGACACAACCTTAAGCGCAGCTCTGTTGTATGGAGAAAGAATTCTCTTCCACAGTGGACTGACGCACCGAGTCAAGCCAAGTCAAGCCAAACCAACACGTGTATGGAAAAGGGCTACAAGAGTTCCAGCAGAGTTGCTTAATACAAAATGCAGTACAGGCATGGGTGTAATGCTCTTCTTATCAGCACCTCCCTCCTTGTGTCATTGCTAACAATAAGAATGTGTTTCCAGTCAGCTCAAATGCTTATATAAAGGTTTGAAAAAAACATTAGCATAGGGAACGTTCTATCACATCCAGGAGGGTCACGCACCTGCTCTCTCAGCCGTGATAAACCTCTCAACAACGTTTCTCTGAACCAGAACTCTTTCTAAGTATAGAACAATGACCAAGACAAAACACCTGCAGTCTAAACATTAATGCACTTGTGTGAGTTTTTTTGTTTGTTTTATTTGCACAGGTGCTTCTATGTATTTTTTATGAGCTTGTGTCACATCATTTCTTTGCTGCATTTTTTAATGTTACACTTCCCAGAATCTAGTTTAAGTATCATCATATAGGAAAGTTGCTGAAAACATTTTTCATCTGCGTGTGACTTTTATGTTTCTGCTCACTAAGACAAAACACAACTCTGGTCTGGGGTAGTTATCCAGCAAGTTTCTGTGTTGTTCCTACCGTCTTGTGTCACAGCGGTTGATTAGATTGTGAATGGATTTATCGGAGCTGCGCTCATGGTTTACTGGGGAGTAAACCATACAGGCAAATGGGAAATTGTGGTTACAGGCTGCATTTTTCACATTCCTGAGATGGAGAAATCTACAAATATTATGCACTTGCAAATAGAACATGAGCATGTATCTCTTAACATGTATTTGTGTTACTGTTCCTGTGAGAACCCTCATTCACCGATGTGATTTCGTACCTGCAAACTTAAACCCTCCTCGTCACAGCCACATGCCTGATCTAAACCAATGACTTTTAGTTTCAACCCTTGAACTAAGTCATGACCCGAGAGTGACAGCTCGTTCTACAGGTCTAAAATGGGACTAAAAGTACTTTTCCAAAAAATACCATTGGAGTCTAGGTGTTGAGGTGGAAGACACTAGCCCACACCTGAAGACTTTTAGAGATGTTGCTTTTATCACCTGGCATGCCAACAAACACAGCTGGAGATATTTTGTGGATGGAAAGCTGGCGTAGTTGGAGCTCAAGGAGATAATATGATCGACCTCATATGCTCCCAGTGCAACTCATGCTCTCAGGTTAACAGAAATGGGCTTCCACTCAATATGTATCAGAGGGAACACCCTCCCCCAAATGTCAAACATATCACACTATATGTTCAGACAAGCTTTTATGTGGTTTAGGGTTTTGTAGGTTCAAACAAGGTTATTGTGATAAATGCAGAATTCTTTCAGCTGGAGAGGGTGGAGTGTGCTGTTCATCAGAGGTGTGTGTATGTGGTTGTGTCTCTGAGTTTGTGTGTCTGTGTGTGTCTTTGGGAGGAGCGGGGGGTTGGGTTAAGACCTTGAGGTTGGAATGCTCTACTGACGGTTTAGATAACAGCACTTGGTGGATATTTGTTCGTCCATGTGTCCATTACTGCAGGATGAATTGTAATCACTTTGGCAACCTTTGAAGGATAGTTTCTTTTTTTTTAATTGTGTCCATACAAACATTAATAATAGCTGCACTTGCTGTAACCATTTCTCCTGTTTTTACTGGCCAGTAAAACATCCATTTCTTATGCCTTTTCAGTGTAAGTGATGGAAGACAAAATCCACAGTTCTCGCTTCAAACAAACACACATTCTAAAGTTCATGTGGGTATCTGTCAAAGATACAGTCCATTTAGTCTGAAATTCGTTCCTATTGTTAGACTCTCCACTGCAGCTCAGCAAGGAAACGCTGCCAGGGAAAACACAATAAGGGAACTTTTAGTCTCTATATACAGACTCTACATTCAGTGAATGTAGAGTCTGTAGGCAAACCCCGAAGATCTTGCCTCCGGAAGAAGAGCGGAAGAGCCCTGGTTTCCGGTTGTAGGCTGTTTGTAGTCCGTGTGATATTGAACAATCACGTTTGAGCCAGCTGCAGTTGTTGCCAGGTTAAACGGTCCGTGCAGTGAACTAACGAGGCAGAACATAATTGCCGTCACTGCAAACTCTGAATCCATCGCAATGGTTCAGCATATTTACTTATATATAAATGTAAGTCGGAAACGGAAATTCGCCTCCTCCACCCAAATCAAACCGGAATGCCAAAAAATCGCGGGTCTGGCCCCAGAGGCTGTATCACCGTCTGCCAGAAGTCAAACGCCGAATTCAGCCGATGGGTTCCAAGAATGGGGAACTTTAAACTAAAAAGACTAACTTTACTAAGACATCTGCTTGGATAGAAAAGCAAAGTCCCTCCCTCTGACATCATCAGTGTGCTGCTCCTGTGCTTCTTAAAAAAAATCCTCTGTGCTTCTTCAGAACTAAGCTAGTTTTCCAAATTGCAGTTAGTACAATTAAACAAAATCATTTTCAGCTGCTGTAGGGTTAGCAAGTTAGCTTGCTAAGCCGGTAAAAGCAGGTATTTACAACTGAAAATAATATTATCCTTAATCTTTTTGAGTTGACAGTAACCTCGCCTGTTGGCAAGCTTACTCGTTAGCATGGTGTACCTCTTAGCAAGCTAACTCGCTAAAATTCTAGCCTATTGGCAAGTTTACTTGTTAGCATAGCCAACTTTGTTAGCAATATTACTTGATAATCCAGCAGTAGCTTGTAAAAATTTTGTTAAATTGTACTTACTTCAGCTTGGAAAACTTAGTTTCAAAGAGGCACAAAGAAACTTTGAAAACAAAAGTTCAGGAGCAGCACACTGATGATGTCAGAGGACTGTGAATGGTTGTTGCAGTGTTGATCCAGGAATACAATGTGGGATGTTGATCCAGGAGCATGTCCTACTTGGCAAAATCACTTGGTGCCTTGATATTATCAGTTTGAACATTGTCTTTATGTTGTATTTAATTCAATATTGGTCAAAAAGGATTTGCAAATCATTACATTCTGTTTTTATTTACTTTTAATATAGCGTCCCAACTTTTTTGGAGTTAGGGTTTTAGATATTAACTACAAAATATGTATAAACAGATATTATTGTTATCATCAGTGATCTTGAAAGCTTCTCAGAGGAGCAGTGCACTAATATATCCATGTGTAACCTTTTGTGACGCTGTTAATTAAAACTGGAGAATCTCTTATTTTCCTTAAAGGAGCAGTCTGTTAGATATAGGGGTATGTAGTTGGCATCTAGCAGTGAGGATTGCAGTTTGCAACCAGCTGAAACTTCTCCTGGTTAGGATTCCTTCAGTGTTCATCGTTCAGGAGGTTTTTACCAGGAGCAGGAGCTATCTGCAGGTCTCTCCCTCTCCCAAATAAACAGACTAGGTGATTTATACTAGTAAAAATGCTGAATAAAGCAATTTCACGCAAAAAAAAAAACAAACCCTCCTGTGTTTCTGACACTGCTCATCGCAGAGGGGCCAATGTGGAAATGCAAAATAGCCCTATCTAGAGCCAGTGTTTGGTTTGTCTCTTTTGGGCTACTGTAGAAACATAGCAGTTCACCATGATGACCTCTGTGGATGAGGACCTGCTCTCTATGTAGATATAATCAGCCCATTCTCAGGTTACAAAAACACAACGATTCTTATTTTCATTTGATTATACACTAGAGGAAACACACCTATTATACTATTTTTGCCAGTATATCCCCTTAAATCCGACACACTGGACCTTTAATCATAATAACATGCCTAGAAAGCTCCACTCTCAGTGAGACACCATTTGTTTGCTCTGTTTACCTTAACAACATTTTGGTCAGAAGGAGACAAATGGAAAGTAAAGTGGAGTCACAGAGGGACTTTGAACATGAACCATTTGCCTAAAAAACAGTTCATTTCCTCCAAATCAGTTACTCCTAGCTACTGATGAACTGATTTACCAGACTTCTTATTTTAACAAATCAGTAATTTAGTGAAATATTTAAGTAAATCCTTTTAAAAATCCATCTGTAATTGGTGCAGTTGACTGGTCGATAGCCTGAGTGCTGACTTTCTGGCTGACTCTCCCTGTCAGAGAAAGTATGCTGCTCACACATCCACCCAAAT